AAGTTTTACGCTTGAAGCTTATCTTAAGTGTGCGCCACGCTTTGCCACTCAACTATGTATACCCTGTAATAGCAGATTATAGCAGGCCAAAGATTAACAGGCCAAAGGATGCATTTCCCACCTCATGAATTATAGATGCAAACATTGTTGATCATCAATATCGACGTTTTGTCTGTATGAATACCGTTAATAGGGGGTAGATCAGCCTTCCTACCCATCCGTTAGCAAACAGATTTAAAATTTGTAAGATCTCTATAAAAATGTGGATCCTATCCACTAAAATTCGCTGTGCCCGTATGATTTTATCAGTCCGAAACAGGAATGTGATCCATTTGATTTTCTGCCTTTTTTATACTTACTTATTCTAAGATGGTTATTTCTATGCCACTTCCCTTTGAAAGGGCATCCTTATAGTCGTTATCTTGGCTCTACCGGTCTCCCGCTGCGGCCTGGGCAAAAGGATGAGAGATGAAATGAGAGGCTGAAGCTGTAGGCAAAAACTTTTGCCGACAAATGTGGTTTCCTGTTCTATTTGTCTCTCTCTCTCTCTTTATCGTTTGGCCTCTCTTTCGCACACTATATGTGGCTGTAAGTGGCGTCTGAATCTTCGTCTCGCCGTGGCATAATTTTCGCGCTTTTGTGCGCATAATTTAAATGACTTTTGAAAAGTTTCCTCAAGTGGGCGCAAAGCAGGCATTTCAGATAAGAGGTGCAAGGTGTCTCCTGCCCCCTCCCTATCCCTCTGTAAGCCATAATTATGATAATGTTAGTGCGCCCAAGTGGTTTGTCCCTTCAGATGTGCGAAGGGAAACTTTTGACTTGAACAAAAATATATTACGTATACGCATGGTGTACGAGAGTGAAACGTTTTGTCATTCTGGTTGTTGGTTGGCTTAAAGGGGGTGGAGTATAGAGGCGTAGAGGGTATGTGTGCGTGTCTAGGTTAATTGCTGAACGTCAACGTTCAGGCTCTGCTGAAATCTATGCAAATAACACTAAATTATTAAACATTTTCTTGCCACGGGCAGGAGCAGCCCCCAGCGAAAGTGTTTAGCATATTTTGTGTTAAATTTGTTTGCGTGACTCAAACAATTAGCAGACGCACATCGAGGTTTTCGACGGCAGTCTGCTGGCAATGCACTGAAAGAAATTTATGTGTAAAATATATCGAAATATATGGTAGGAGTTTTTGCTTACAGAAAATCGAGTTTTTTCTATGAAAACTATTCGTTAGTGGCCGCAGATCTTACCTTTTTCCTCACACATTATCCAAGTCTGAACTGCAAGGAAGGGATTACCATAAGAGTAAAGGTGCAATGGGATTACAAATAGATTTCTTGGTTTCCAAAATATTTCCTAATTTTTAGCATTAAATCAGCTACATCAAAATTTGTTTACTATATTTACGCTGCCATAAAACTAATCGATTACCAAAAGAAAAGCATCCCATGTGCTGCATTAGTCCCTCGTTTCCATTTAAAAAAAAGTTGAACATGTTTCTGCATGCATTCCTCATTTCTTCCAGTGCACATGTGTGGCTAACGCTTCGGTGTATGTGTTTTTGCTATTGCTGTAAATAAACGCGCTCATTAACGTGCTTTTTATTTGGGATTTGGCCAAAATGGCGCGGATTGCCCTCGACGAGCGACCGACCAACCGCCGAATGTCAAACCCCGAAAAACAGGAAATTTGCATAAATGCAAAGCCAAATGCCAAAAGCCGCAACCAAATGCCAAAAACCAAAAAGCCCAAACCAGGGCATTTTTCCGTCTAATTGAGAGGCCAGAATTAAATGCAAATGATTAAATGAAACAACTGTAATTTATGTTCATTTACTCCAGCTCTTAGTCTCCCTCCCCCTCTCTTTGTGTGTGTGTTGTGTGTTTTGTTTACATTTCTTTCTCGTTGGAATGTCGCTGTGGTATCAATCAACCCAAAGTTTTATTGTTTAATTATTATCGCATAATCATATAACTGCTTATAAACAAACATTAATTTATCAATCTTATATATAATTTGGTTTAATTTTAGCTTATTTTCATTCGAGTTGCGTTTTTATTTTACAATAGTTTAGCGTTCGTTTATTTTAGCTTTTGTTTTTTGGTTGGGAGGCGCCTTATGAAAGTGAAACTGAAAATTAAACGAATACTCGTATGTATATAACTTTTTTTTAGAGGAACTGGTCCGCTTCTTTTTGTAGGAGAAATGTCTTCAAAATTATCTTGAAACAGAAATGATATATTTTTATTAAAGCCAAAAAACTGTTTTTAAACAAATTTTTAAGTCCAGGACATAGTTGCAGCCAAATTGGTAAATTTTGCAATACGATTTTACGCCACTTTCATACTTACATATTTTACACTATATGCTTCATAGGAAAACACATCCGTACTTATTTTTTTTTTTGCACAAAAAGCATTAAACATAGGTACAATACATATTCGAATGCTCTAACCATTTTTGGGTTTGATCTAATCTTTCAAATACAGGCAACAAACAATATAAATTACTCTGTATAGGCGGATATATATGTATATCTTTATATGCTTTGGTATCCATAATTATTGTTTTATTTTCAATGTATAAATTAATTAAATTAGGTATTTACGATTATGTTTCTATATTTAGAAATTGGTTTTTTCTTTGAATTTTTTGTGGGTAATTTTCTGTTGAATTATTTACTGCCTGATGTTTTATCTAAGGGTATTTTAACATATTTACACAACAGAAAAAAGAGACAACTTTTATTTACATCTATTATTCGGGCATTTATCTAATATCAAAACAAAATGAGGTGTTATTTACAAATAAAACAATCAAAAAAAGTGAAATAATAATTAGAAATATTTACCAATTAGCCAAAATGAAGTAATCAAAAATTGTGGTTTAAATAATAATGAAATATTTGAATGAGCCTGATGGGTCTCCATTTGATGAAGGGAAATGGGTGGAAATTATGGAAAATTCTCTGCGAATATTGAAATATTTATAACTGTTTGAAAATCTACGACTCCCTGGAGGAGCTGAGCTGTTGACGGCAGAAAGATTGTCGTTTATCCTTGGCCTGCAATCTTTTCAGCCTGCATTTATAATGCTTAATTAGCTGCATTGTTCGAGTTAACTGCACAAGTGACCTTATTTTTCATTTCCCCTCACTACACTTTACACTCTGCCCCTCTCGCTTCCTGCTCTCACGACCTTAATAAAAGGGGGAAAATTAAATAAAATACATTAATTTCGTTATTGTTGTGAACCGTCAACAACACAGACACACACACAAACGGACAGCGACATACACACACACACAATGTTGATTATCAATATTTTCCATGCGGAATGCGCTTTTCCTCCTTTTTGGGCATTAACTTTGTTAATAAACGAATGGAAAGAGTTTTTCCTGTGCTGAATGCTGGAGAAAGCCAATTTTCCATGCGGTTTTCCCCATCGTTCATTATGTTTATGTCAATGCAAACTTGATGCAACATGAGTTGAATTATTAAAATCGTGCAACGGCAAGGCAGAGGTAGGCACAGCAGCAGCAGCAATAGCAGCAACATGGCGTAAATACAGTGAATTGGCAGGCCTTTAACCTGGCCAACACCCACCCCTGTCTGTTGCTTCTGCCCAGAGTCCCCACAGAACTCCCTTTGCCGTACATGAACCTATATGCAAATATGCCATATATCTTCTGGCCTTAATGTCATTTTTCTTTGCCGTCGATAGCGCTGCAGTCTGTCTGTCTGCCTGCCTGCCTCTCTCTCTCTCTCACTCTTTCATGGCTCACTCACTCACTCCTTGGGTCCGTGGCATGAGTTATGGCCAATAAATTGGACATGTTAACTGTGTGTCATTGTGCGGGGCCAGGAGACCGCAGGCCATGCAATTTTATGCTGAAATTAATTGCAAGTATTTCGCACAGATGAAGCGCAGAGAAGGAGAGATAGAGAGAGAAGGAGACAGCAAGTGAGAAACGGGGAAAAGAAGAGAGGAAAAACAAGGCTTAAAAGGACAGGGCGAGAGTGTGTCCAAAGGAGACAGCCAGACAGACAGGACACATGGCAACGGGTCGTATGAGTAATAATATAATTAGCATGCACATTTATTAAAAAATGATGAAAGTGCACAAAAGCAGGCGACGAACGATGACGTGCGATGGGTGATGGGCGATGGGCGATGGGGCGATGACGACGACAATTCCGAAAACCCCAGAAGCCAGGAAATGAAATCACGATGCAATGCAAATTATTATTGCAAATTTTAACCATAGAACAGGAGATCCGGGTGGTAGCCATGACGCATGCAAGCGAATCACAGAAGGGAGATCGTAAAAATTAATGACATTTTCAAGGCGTTTTAATGCCCCACCAACCGAACGAACACATGGCTACAACATTTTAAGCCTTTCCTCCTCGCACCATGGCCAACATTTCACGTTGACACATACGCACATACATACGTACAAACATATTGTGTTTGCCTGCGATGGGCGGTCCTCTGAGCTGGAGGCGTGTCCGGTGCGCGACTCTTTTTCTTTCATTAAATAAATTGGATTTTTGCTGCGCTTTATTCGAGGGGGTCGAAAAGTTGCGACACGAATTTCCAGCAGAGTTTTTGGAAAAGCAAGAAATCCATTTGGATTAGATGCTGGAATGTTCGGTGGATTCCGAGGAATTGAAGTTTTGCCACCACACAAAAATGCAGTTAAATGTGGGAGATTTATGGAGAAGTATTTGTAAAATAAAAAGCTGAGAAAACTTTGAAAATATAGCAGAAAATGAAAAGAGAACAAGTTATACCTTAATTGGGAAAATTTTTGTTTGATTTGAATTCGATTTGCACTTATAAACATGAAATGGAGAGCAGAACTATATAAATATCATACAAATAAAATTAAAAATAAAATAAAAAAATATCAAAATGTATTTAAAAGAGAAATGTGTTCAAAAAAAATATATTTCAAAAATTTGATTAATATAAATAAGAGCACTTTATAGACTCGTATTTGAGAGAGAACTGTATACATTTTTAGATATGTTCAAACAAAATTCAAAAACACTCAGACTCTTATTCGTCTGCCTGATATGAAAAGTTGTTCAGTTTGTACGAGTGTTTTCTGCATTTTCTGTGTCTGTGTGACATTTGGATATGTATACATATGTGCGTGTTGGGTATCCATACCCAAAAACAAACTTAATATTAATTCTCAATTAAAAGCAAAAAATATCTGTATGAAATTGGCCAAATAGAAACCAGTTATGTTTGGTTTTGACCAAAAATGCATCTTTAATAAACATAGTTCGGGCTCTAAGAGGGAGCATTTTTTGCTTTGTGTGGTACAAAAAGAAAACAGACTTAAGCCCTGAAATCCAGGAAAAAAATACAGAGACTTTTTGCTCAACGCTTTGATACTACATTTTTAGATTTTTATATTTAATTCTAAGCTTTTAGTTTCAGTTTAAGTTTTATGTATTATACAAGAAGATTTTCATCTCAGTTTGTTTTTTTGGGGATATCTTAAGCTTTATAATCCCCCATTCTTTCATAAGTATTTTACATACAATGAGCATTTTATTGTTTTTGCAAAATATTTTCATACGTTTTTCTTTATGTTTTCGTTTTGTTTTTTTTTAATTTTTTTTTTGTTTGATAATTTTACAAATTCTCATAGCTTTGATGTGAGTTGAGCCAAGTGTTTTAAGCATTATTCTTATTGGTATTTTCCTTTTGATATATGTACTTTCCAGCTATGAAATATGTTTATATACCTAGGCTAAACCCCTTTTTCCCCCCGATAGATAGACTAGACCCCACCCCTTTGGCTGCATTTTGTAAATGCTTATTGAGTAACTCAAAGGATTTATTGATTTCAAAGCTGAATCGACAGATAGATGCCTGTGCCCAGCGTTAGCCAGCAGCTAAGCAGCAGCAGCAGCTCTCTGTGCGGTGGCATCAGTCCAGCTGGTTGGTGCGAGGGGAGGGGGGGAATAACATCATCATAGAAAAGGTTTGAAAGAGTTACTGGGGGGTAAACAAACTTACCCACTGATGATGAATACTCATTCGGTGGTCGCTCCGTGAAGAACATGCTCTTGCCTATCGCCAGGGAGCCCTTGGAGCTGCCCCCCAATGCGGATAGGGTATTGCCCGATGCACCGCCTGGCAGGGCTGAGGTCTGCATGGAGGTCGATGATGATGACGAGGCAGCCGAGGCACTGCCACCCGGCCCCGATGAGGAGGAGGCAGAGCCAGGATATAAATCGTTCTTCATGGCATATCCAACATCCGTTTGTAGGGATTTCGTTGTATCGTTGCGTGATGAGGGTATGATATTGTCTGTATACATATAATGAAGAAAATGATATACTAAATACTCGTACATATACTCGTATACCTTGTACCGCATAGTGGGTCACTATCGTCGAATCGTACAAGTATTTTGCGGTCTCTTAAACCAAACTTAACCCTAACCTGACATGGTTTTCAAGTTAAATTGCGTGGAAATCTTGGCTGCGATACATAAAGTAAAACGAAACAAAAAAAAACCCCTGGAACACACACACACACACATGAGGCCACAAACAATGGCATCCTTTGTTGTCCTGACTCTGGGATTAGGTCCGTTGCATTTCTCTCGCGCTTTACTCTGCTCTGCTCTGCTCAGTCCCTCTGCCCGCCAGTCACTTTAAATAAAATATGTTTGGTCTTTTGCTCTGCCCCCGGCTTCGGCATCGGATTCAGCATCCAGCTCTCGTTCCAGCTACAGCGTTCAGCGTCTGCGGCAGTGTTTCAAATGTGTTTCCAACCTAATGCCCCCGAAAATCCTTTCGCCCGCCCCCCTTCAGCATAATCCCCAGCATATTGCTTTGCCAGAGATGGAGTCAGAGCTATGGACACACGGAGGCAGCAGCAGCAGCAGCAGCAGCAGCAGCAGCAGCAGCGACACGGACTCCGGGAATCGGAGGATAGGAGACTTGAAAGTGTGTGTACTTTTCTGCTCGACTTGAATTTCAACAAGAGTGGGGCAGGGAACTGGGACGGCAACGGCAACTGGGCCCCCCTGTCGCTGAAATAGTCAAAAGTGCTTTACTTTATCTCTTTTTTGTGGGCGTGTCCCAGCACCAGTCGCCCGTTCCCGGCTCCCAGCTCCTGCTTGTGGATCTGTCTGGCTTAGCTGCTACTTTCGCAGTTTTGTTTGTGGCTCGCCGTATCCTGTATCCTGTATCCTTCCCTTTACATTTCTGTCTCTGTCTGTCTGTGTGGGTGGGTGTGTGGGCTGGTGTGACTTTCACGCTCAACGCTGAATGTGTTAAGCACAAATACGAGTACGTAGCAGAGCACATTCTCCACATAGGTGGTATACGTATCCCTGTGGTATCCCTGCCCAACCCATCTCGAGAGATACTATACTTACTCTCCCTGGACTCGACGGTTGTGTGGGTCACCTGCTTGGATGGTGTGGATGGCAAAGGAATTTCTGCAAATGGAATTGAATAACATTGCATAATTAATAATTAGAGGCGTGCCTTTTCTAAAAAAAAAAAAAACAGAGCAAATGGTTTTTCATTACACATGGAGGAAAATCATGTGTATGTGTGTGTGTTGGTGGTTGCTTGTGGCTGGCTTTCTGTGTCAAGAGGCGGGGAGAGGTGCTCTCTAGTGGTAAGGTCAACCACACTAAGGCTCGGCTCGCTCAGAATTTTAAATGAACTTAATGATGTTGGTTCAAACTTTGAGGGTCAAACATGCTGGGAGCGGAGCATGTTAACTATAGCATACTTATGTGGGATTGGAATAAAACTCGGAAATTACTCTATGGTTATGAATCAAGTTTAATGAATGGAAGGCACTTATTTATATGGAATGAATGAAGTTTAAGTTCAAATAAAAAAAATCTGAAGTCTACGTTTAAAGATTTCCTTTGAAAGAAGTTCCTAGGAAAAAAGCCCTCAAATTTTAATATTTAAACTTGGTTCTAAAAACGTATTCCAATAGATTTGCTCACTCACATTTTGATATTAATAAAAATATAAAAAAATTAAAATTAAATATATTTCATATTTAAAATAAATATATTTCATATTTAAAATAAATATATTTCATATTTAAAATAAATATATTTCATATTAAAATTAAGGATACTTCGAATTTAAAATAGACATAATCTAGCATGCAATTTGGAGCACGCGTTGCGGAGATAGCCGCTTACAAACCGATTTGTTTTATAGTATAGATATATTTAATTTTAATACATTAAATTAAATACATTTTAAAGTAAATATATTGGCCATAAATTTAATATATTATATTTATTTTAAATTGTTTTTTATTTAGATTAAATAAATTAATATAATTATTTTCAAATCAAAGTAAATTCTATTTAACTTCACTAGTCTTGTATTTAAAAATCAAATATTTAATTCAAAACTTAAATTCTTAAAACTTCCAAGATAGCATCAGAAGGAAGAACATATTGATTCAAATTAAACATTAACTATATCTGAAAAGAAAAACCCCCTGATATAATAACATCAAAGCCAAATTCAACTTGTGTTTGTTTCGATAACCTTTTACCCCAGTTCTTTGCCACATTTACAAAGCGCAAACTTGCAAACAGTAAAAGCAAAAGAAGAAGTAGGAAAAAACCCCCGAAAACATGAAACTGCATAAAAAATAAATATAGTATAAATGCAGCTAACCCAACCCAACCCTTCTTCCTGCCCACATGACGGCAGGCTCCTTGGGCGATACAAAGTCAAACAATTCCGAAATTCACCTTTATTTTCCGTTTACGTTTATGGTGAATGTGTCTCCATGTTGTTGTGGGGCCATGTTACCGAGCAATAAGCTTCAAGGGGAGGTCGTGAGAGGGAATGATGATAGGTGCATGGTAGGAAGGAAGGAAGGCGTAGTCAAGGACAGAGGGGCAGATAGGGCCAGACACCAGCCACCAGCCACCGCTCGTTTAGTTTAACGCTCCAGAGGACAACATAGAGAGATAGAAAGAGAAAGAGAGAGAGAGCGAGAGTAGGAGAGGGAGGTGGAGGTGGAGAGGCAGAGGGATATGTGGGATATTCCGGGTCTATAGGTAAAAGCTTTTGGCAAAATTGTGCCACAAAGGGCGCACGATATTGCATTGCTCTGAGTGTGTGAGTGTTGCGCTCTCTCCGTCTCTCTAGCTACGTCTCTACCTCAATACCTTTGAGTTTATCTGTGTGTGTGTGTGTGTGTGTGTGTGTGTGTTTGTGTTTGCTGTAACTAGTGCACTTAAGCTACCAATACAGATGCACTTACCGTAAACACGTATGGAGCCTTCCGTTTCCCCCAGTGAGTTCTTCGAGATGCATCGATAGTTGCCAAAGTCACCATATTGTAGGTTTCTTATCGTCAGTTTCATGTGGGCGCTGCAAAAAGGTCCAAAAACACACAGAGTGAAACGGATACGTTAGCCATCAGGTTAGAAATGGGGTTGAGGTGTATCAACCCCAACCCACCCCAACTTTGAATTTTGCTTGCGGCCTTTGAGTGGCTCATTTGAGTCTGCACCTGACCCCCAAGAAAAAGGCACAAGTGCAAATGTCATGGTAAATATTTAACCACACAATCTTAGATGTTTTATTTATATTTGAGATACTGATACTGATACTGGTACTGTTACTGGTTACTGGTACTGTTTCACTTACCGATAGGAGTTCTCCGTATAGTCGGTTTTATACTTCTTGCTGGGCAATACCATCACCGAGTTGTATACCCAATATATGATGGCCCTGTTGGCGGTAAGCGTTTTCAACATTTTGGTTTTTTGGTTTTGGTTTTGGTTTAAAACGAAATTTCACTTTACACATGGCAAAAACGGAAAATAAAACTAATCAAATTCTCAAATGAAAGTAAATATTTTAACAAAATCAAAAGAGAAATCGAATGAGCAAAACTCAATAGAGACGCATACACACACGAATACACAAGAAACTGCAATCAGGTGCAATGTAAAATCGAATGAAAATGGAAGGAAGCGTAAAGGTTTCATAGTACGAACACTTAAGTACACTAAAATATAATTTGAATGAAGTTTTTACATTAACTAATAAATTTTAAATTATATTTAGATGGAATATATAGAATGTTCGACTTAATTTAATAATTATTTATTTTTCTATTGATTTTTTTTTTTATTTCTATTATTTTGTAATTGAAATAGTTTTATGAAGACACAACATATAAATTGACTGATATTTTATTGTACCAATTAGTATATTGAAATTATAAATTTCCGCTGATGGAAAGGAAGTTCCTGCCGTAAAGAAATGTACCCCAAAATAGAGTATTCCAAAAGTAAAATACACAAAATAAACCTGGCAAACCCAGAGAGACGACGACACAGTCGAAACATTTCTAAACTACATTTTAGAGCATTTTCGACGTACAGGAAAAATCTCAAAAATAAAGGGGGCAAAAAAAAAGTCAAATGAAAGTCGAAAAAATGCAAAAGTAATGCGGAAACCAAAGAGAGCCAGAGTGAGAGAGAGAGAAAGAAAATAAACTCACTTGGGATGCGCCTCCGTGTGGCAATCGATGGTTACATCTGTGCCGGATGGAGCGCCAACAAGTTGATTCGGCACCCAAATCATAGGCGAGACTGCAGATACAGATACAAATACAAATACAGATAAAGAGTGTGATACGAAAATAGAGAGAAAAGTTGGGGTATACATATGTAAATGGCAGCAGCAGTGGGAGAGGGAGTGGGAGATGAGATGATTGGGTGCCACAGGATACAGGTGTCGTTGCAAAGCACACGCATAAGCAGCAGCATTACGCCTGTTCAATGTTTGTCTCCATCGTTCTTTTTAGTCAGATTGTCTTTCTGTCTGTCTGTCTGTTTGTCGCTTCATCTGTCTGCCAGCTTAAAATGAAAGTGCAATGACAAAGCTGAAAAACTGAGTTGAGAAATAGGAAACGCAACGTGGTTAAAAACACACACAGCCAGCCAGCACACTCGCAGTCGCAGTCGCACTCGAACTCGTTCCCCGTACAAGTAGAGCAATATACAATATGGCTAAGACAACACGTCAGCAGAATTGAGCGATGAGAGAAGAAGGGCTCGACAGAGACTGGAGTGATGGCAAAAAATACTACAAAAAAAAAAAATTAAGTTTCGCAGGAAGTACGTGCTGTGGACGGGTTTGTCACTGCAAAAATTTTGTATTGGTTGAAAGACACAGTTAGGGTGGTTTCCTGAATGGTATATGGAATTTGTTCTTGGTTGGGAAATGCTCTTTTCTTAAAGAATCTATAGATCTTTCGATACATATTTAGTGTAGATTTAATTAAGGACATTCATGAGAAATTAAAAATAATTTAAGGTTGTTTCCCTGACTGATACTTTCAGTGCTTTTAAAGTTTCTTTTCATGGGTTTAAAATCTCCAAAAATACCAAATGTATTTTTCAAAATACTCTTCTTATTTGTTTGGGTTTATTAGCGATTCGATTGCCATTCATTTTAGTGCAGCAATATTTTACTTTCCAACAAAGGAACTTAAACAAAGATTTGTTCATTTATGCCGCCGCGTGTCAAAGCCATTCCCTCTGAACGCTGGTAACCTTTTGTTGTATCCCTCTACTCGTATTGTATCTCCATCAGTCTCCGTCTCAATATATCAGGTATTTCATCTCACTTAACACAAAATATATACCTTTTTTCTCAACCACCACCAAACGCCAGAAACAACCACAGCGAAACTATATATTAGGCTGCTCTTTTTCCAACAACCGAAGACTCGAATTCCTGCAACTGAAACCGAACCCCAGAAGCCCCCTTTTACTGCTACGGCTATGCCCCTTAAATTTTGCTGTGTGTTCTACGAAATTGAAAGAACCAAACGAGATTGTTGGAAATTTTAAACGCTGCTGACAATACGCCTACCTGCAATACGAGGACGACACTCTGCCTCTCCACCCGAAACGGACGGGGGGTGGGTGGCCACGCACAAAACCGTTCATAATAAAATAGAGAGAAAAAAAAGCACACTCACAGCGAAACACACACAGAAAAACGCCGTGAAAGTCATACGTGCAACGCCGGCAAGTGACTTTATTGCAGGTACGTGACGTGAATTATTGTCAGTGCAGAGCGAGGAGCAGCAGAACAGGAGCAGAAGCAGAAGCACAAGGAGAAGGAAGCAGAGAGCACACCGGCTGAAACTCGTTAGGATTAACAAGCGTTTACTGGCGCACGGCGTGCAATGGCAGCAGCAGCAGCAGCGTAACTTTTACGCCCATCACAGGTCTGCCAGATATACACATACACATAGCAGTCATATATATATATATATATATCAGCTGTATACATGTATATATAGTGGATATAGTGGGTATATATCAGCTGCATTAGATGGCGGCAGCTTAGCTGCGTTTGTCACTCATTGCGCGGAGCAACGAGCGTGCAGTTAAATTGATGAGCACCAGGTACAACAGCAGACGATGCCTCTGGATGGATGATGGGAATGGGATGGTGTGGCTCCTGCAAGGATGGATGGTATAGCTAGTGGGATAGGGTAGGCAGCATAGGGATGGATAGAGGGCTCAGTGGCAGTGCCACTGCCACTGCCACTGCCAGTGTCTGGGCTGGGCTGGGCTGGATGAATGGCGCCGCGTACGCTCCGGTAAGTGCGCGCGCGTGTTTCAACTAAACTGACAAAGGCAGCCAAACTGCGGACTAATATAATATACGACCCGTCCCCATTCGGCATACGGATAGTTTTTTTTTTTTTGGGCTGTCTTGGAGAATACTTACACTCCACATCCAGGATAATGCGCTTGGACACCGATGGCGGTACTCCATTTGTGGCAATGCAGAGATAGGCGCCCATCTCATTGCGACTCACTTTGGTCAGCGGCAGGACATCGCCATCATAGACCAGCACTATTTTTTGGGGCGGCAAAAAAGCATAGATAATTTCCAATTAGTAAATGTATCAAATACGAAAAGATAGAATCAATATAAATGTGTTTTAGATTCGATTTGAGAGTTAGATTAAGACAAGTAACTATCTAAAATCGATTGGATCTTCATGGTGGTTTTAAACTCGTTTAAAAATCTCCAAACTTTCAATTTGAAACCGTGAACACACCTTTCCTTTTTGATGAAACCCACCTTTACCTTTTTTCTTCTTTTCGACGGCAATTTCCTCGCCATCCTCGCGACGCCAAATGATTTTGGGCGTTGGAAAGCCATCGGCACGACATGTCATGTTGATATTTTGATTCTCACGCACGGCCACCGACGATGGTGTGCTCTCAATGTCCAGAATGTTGGGTGGCACTGCAAAAGATACACACGGAAATTGAAATGAGAACAGAATTGGGTGGGACTTAAAAGGGGGTTGGGTCTCTACTTACCCACCACCTGTAGATAGCCAACTTGGCTAATCATTGGATTCGTGTTGACCTGACACATGTAGTAGCCGCGATCATCCTGATGGGCCTGATTCACGTGCAACAGCCACGTGTTGTCCGTGTAGGTGATGCTGTAGCGTGGTATCCGCGATATCACATGCCGATGGATGGTCAATATCATTTGCCTGTCGATGTGTATCCAAGCCACCTACAAAAAAAAAAACGAACGATAAACATAATCGATTTTGGTCAATTTCCCCCAACTAATAACACACGCAGGCTGCTGCCTGCTGCTCCTTCTTCTTCCAGGATGGTGATCTAAGAGTGAGTGGACGAGTCCCCGCTGTCATTATAAATGAACGTCATGTCGTGTGACGCAGGGACCCAAGGATAAAGCCAACTTGACAGCTGTTTCCGCATTTTTAATACACTTTTCTTTCAGCTTTTTCTTGGTCGTTCTCGGCATTTTCTTTGGGCTTTCGCACACACACACACACACACATAGGCAAGATTGAGAAAGGGATTCCTCATGCTGCAAGGATTTTTTCACCAGCTGCAAACTTTTCAAATTTACTCTCTCTTTGCCTCTTGTCCTCAGCATCAGTGACAGGAATGAGTTTCTCATTTCTCTGGCTCTCTTTTTTTTCCCTCGCATGTCCTGGCCAATGTTGACAAAAGTCCAATAAGAGCCAAGCAGCAGAAGGACCCCGGGTCCTGGGGACAGTGTTTTATATGAAGTTGATATGGCGAGTAAATATTTGTGATTTGTTATGAGCTCTGGCTCTGGCTGTGGCTGTGCCAGCAGCAGCAGCAGCAGCTGAGGGAGATAAATGATAAGTGATTTTCTAGTCATTTTCCTCCGAGTTCGAGAGGCCAGAAGAGCGAGAGAGAGAGAGAGAATGGAGATGAATTCAAAGTCAAAGGCCTAACTAAAGTGTATCCTATAGCTTATATGGATCACATTCCAATCTCACAGATTGTTGCCTAGCGGCAAACAAAAGTTGTATATGCAAATGTCAGTAAGACTTGCATCGAAAGTGAGTGTTGCATTACGTTTTGAATTTATTTTGTGTTAAAATGCAATCGAATATTGTTTCTAATTAACATCGTAGATGGCTTTAAGCTACCATTCATTCTGTCTGTAAATTACCATTGAATTTGTTTTTAATTTAACATCAAATGTTGCTCCAAATTACCATCAAACATTAGTCGAAACTTCCATCATATATGAGTGTAAAATATGCCTTAAATTTAATAAAATAATTTCCTCAAGACTGGCTAAAAACGCTGTCACGTCAGTCATCTCCAGTTGCCTACAGTTGGACTGCTCCAAAGACTGTCTCACTGACTGCTCTGACATTCGCCTACACCTCGGTGTTTGTGCCATTTATGAAATTGACTTTTGGCAGTGTCCATCGTTGGCTGAAAAACTCCTTCAACCAAATGTGCGCCAACGATGTTCGACCATGGCATTCATTTTACGCACGATTTATGGCAACTTCTTCACGGTCCATCTCCACCTCGTTTGTACTCACCTTATAGCCACCCAAATGCTCAACGACACAGGGCAGATTGGCATCACGGCCCACGGCCACGGTGACGTTTGGTATCGGCTGGGCGAAGCGTGGCTCATCCATCATGACTGCGAATGAAGAGAACAGAAGCCACAGGCCGATAAATTCTGTTAGTTAATGAGTGCACGAGAGAGAGACAGAGAGAGAAATAGAGAACTGGCAAAAACATGATCCTAGTCTCATTAAATGGAAGCATTCATTGGGCTAGGACGAAGCTTAGATGAGCTAAGAGATTGTTTTCAAAAGTTTGTGGATAAAGATTATAATCAGAAAGATTTATTGGGCAGTAAATAAAATTAGCTTTTGGAAATTTAATCTGTCAATCTTTATTCGGTTTAAATCTTAAGAAATATGTCTTAAAATTCCAAGAGTATGTCTAACTTTAAAGATAACTTTAAATCATATTCAAAATTAGCTCTTTAATAGCTCTAAATTGGCTAAAACTGTACAGTTTCTCTCAACCATAATCCTCCTGTAGGCTACACAGAAATATTCTCCAAAAATAATTCCCTAAAATTACCCAAATATAAATGAACAATTTTTATATAGACCCCCCCAGGCGGTTTTTGTAGACCATAACAAAGTCATTAAAGCCCAACGGAGTGTGTGCAGGGTAATAAAAATAAAGAAGTGCAAATGTTGATGGAGGAGCAATAGCAGCTGTTGCCGGAAATCCCTGACCCACAGGCCAAATATAATCAACAGCAGGAGCAGCAGCAGCAGCAGAAGCAGCCGCAGAAGGAGCAGCAGAAGGAGCAGCAACAGAGGCAACCGCAGCGTCATTATGAAATAATTAAACAAAGCAATTTTTTATCTGGCCAAAGAGCGGGGGCACTGGCACTGGCAACGACAACGACTATGGCGGCACGTAGCACGTAGCCTGTTGAGGCGTCCTTGGTGCGAATGGTGGTGGTACGCCTCCTGCCGCCTGCTGTTGGAATATGCAACTTTTGTTTCACTCTGTTTTTTGCCTTTTATATTTTCTATGCATTCATTTCGTGTTCGTGCTTCTGCCTTTGCCGCGGAAGTGGCGCACAAAAGCAAAAAACACGGTCTACCTCCTGGCTGCTGTTGCCTGTTATCTGCGTCATGCAGCCGGAGCACCGTTTGTCCCCATCCCCACGCCCCCTTTGCATCTCGCCACCTCTCCAGTAGGCACCGGCATTGCACCTGTCTCACGGTTCACGGCTTTAGCCAGACCAGAAGAGAACAGTCCAGCAGGCCAGGCCAGGAGAGGAGGCCGTGTGTTTGGTGCGTTGCCATCGTTTTGAGGTCTCATTTTCTTAATTAAATTATGACCAGATCTGACAGTTTTAACACTGCCAAACGACACGTATTCGGTGGCATGAATATGCGAAGCATATTTAAAATTTCGTGTGAATTTCGAAAGGAAATAATGAATGAAAAAAATATAAATACTTCTACAAGAATGCAGTCAAGAATGGCAGGAAACAACTAGACTTTTTAGAGTAAAAATTCCATCTGTATCACTGAAACTTTTCCTAACCAACGCTTAGTTGAGGTATAGCTATCTTTTCCAATACTAACTACCTTTTCCAATACCAAAATTAATAAAAACTGCCAACAAATGTTCCATTTTCAAGCCTATGCTTAACAAATGTATCAAAATAATATCCATTACGACTTACCGTGCGTCACCAGATTCGTCATGTAGATGACAAACAAAATCCGTCGATTTGTGAATCGACTGGGGAATATATTTAAGGCTATAAGCAGCAATTTAATTACCGTTAAAATAAACATTTCGTCTCTTTTATTTTGCTCGTTTTTTTTTGTTGTCTATTAGATTAATTTTTGAATGATGTAAATAGTATTGATGGAATTTTTTACACAATTTGTAGTTGGTATTTTTGTTGGGTTAACATTTCCCTTAAATGTTTTTTTGTTGTTGTTTTTGTTATTGTTTCCCCGCTTTTGCTGTTCGGTTCTATTTAATTTTATATTTTGCTCTTTGGTTTTTGTGTATTTCCTTTTTGGTTTTAAAACATTTATTTGATTTGCGTAATTTAATTTGCACACTCCAGTGAACACGAACACGAACACGCACACGAATACGAACACTTTGGCAATTCAAATTTCATTTAGCGTAAAGCTTTAAAAATCGCTTAATTCACTTGACGCGTCGGATTGCATTTGTTGCTGTTGCTGTTGTTTTTTTTTTTTTTGCTATGTTGTTTTTGCTGCAGACGAAACAATGAAATTGAATATAAAAATGCAGCCCACACATGTAGCTTGTAGGGCGGTGGGTAAGTAACAGCCACAGAGGACCGCCGATTTCCAGGGATTATGGCATTTATTATTATTATGGCACTCGGACTGGAATTTCGCGTTGCGATTGTTGTTGCCAGGGCTTTGCAATGTTGTATGTTGACTACGACATGCAAAAACAGCAACAAGAAAAGCAGGCTAGTTTTGAGAGTCGAAGCTTTGGTACCCTTGAATCAATGATAACTAGAACTCCAAACATTAGCAGAATTATGTAGAAACGTATTAAATATAAAACTTGAACTTCCTTAGGAAAAATTAAATTTTTAAAACATTAATTTGCAGGGGTATTTTCTATGTATATATAGAACTATGTAATGCACAGATTCACAAATGAACATGAACAATTTGAAATATTTTGTAGTATTAGCTTCAGAAATAAGAACAAGAAACGTCTTTTGCTCATAGACTTATTGTCAATTGATGTTTTTATTGGCAGCCTTATGATATAGTGATTCATTCTTATTATTCACTGCCTGTAGAAAATACTACATTCAACCGGATATTATAAAAACTGATGGCCCTTGTCGACTTAATTAAGAGCTTTGACTTTGATTCTGTGCTATTTCGCACAGCCCAAGAAAGTAATACAATATTGAAATAAATTTGTCATTGTTTTTCGCCATCAAGCTTGTGTTTTTTTTTACTTTTAATTTATGGAATGCAAACATAAAGCAATTAATAAAAATTAAGATCACCTTAAAATAGTCATTTTATAGAGCATTTGCTGCAGCATTGCCAAGTGTCCTTATTAATTTCACATGACTGTATATCTCATTTTGTTGCGATGAGAAAACACTACTAAAAATCATCATAGCCACTGCAAGAGCACAAATAATGGGAATACGCATTGCAGAAGTGTCTATAGACGAGCCTAAAGGGGTCCATGACTGGACATTTGGGTTCCTGTTGGCTGTCTGGCAGTTTCTCTGTGTTTGGCTGTTGGTTGTTTTCGGTTCTCGGTTTGCCAAGTTCATTTGGCTGGCTCCCTGCAACATTTATTATTAATAGCACTTTATTCCGGTCAGTTGTCATCGTCCATATGTATTTATGGCTATATGGATATATGACTGCGTACTCGGATATATGTGTATAGCCATTGCCACTGCCCACACATCAGAATGCGTTTCATTGATGTTACTATTTTATGGCCCTTGGAAATGCGTTGTAGTAGCTGCAGTCAGGATGGATGGCCGATGGCCGCCAGTAAAGGCTGTGTCATTGTAACTGTTACTATTATGGTTACTGTTACCGTCACCGTGTGACCATTACATTTATTATTACCATTTTTACCGGTTTACTATACGGTATATGACATCATTCCATTGCACTTGCAATTTTTGGATGCATTTTCATTTTTTTTTTTAATTTAATGTGACCACAGGAATACTCTCAGAAATCAGAGGGGAAGTGAAGTATAGAGTGTGGTGAGAAATTCATCGTTTTTGAAGCGAAGGAATCTTACTTTTGGAATATTATTTTTAATTTATGATAATTTAAACGTTGAAATTCGAAAAAACTCTACCAATTTTATAGGTCTAATAAATAATTATAAATATCTAAATACTCCTTAAAGTAGCAGCCTCTGGATACCTCAGGATTTTTCGTTATTTTTTTTTTAAATAATATTCAACAAATCCTAATTTTTGCATCACCTTTTTTACAGATACCCCAAATATGTGTTATATAGATGCTCAATTGCCATTGAAGTTATGTTCACCGTTCAGGTATGAAAAATAATTTAAGCAAATCTCTTTGAATACCTCTGCACACATTCCACAGTATCCCGGTGTTTCAGTCTCTCCCTGGGCATGGAAATTTCCTCCCATTCATTGAAATGCATTGGTTAGACTCTGATATTTCTGGCAGCGCACTCTCTGCTCCATTTGGTAGCGGGGGGCAATTTTGTGAAATGATTTATGAATGAACATTCCATATCAGCTTCCTGCGTTTGCCAGGACTCTTTACAACTCTCAACCCTGCCACCGCGCGAACCGCTGATCCACTCACTCCAAGCTCACAACTCAGTTGACGCTTCAGAGTATTAATATTTGATTCGTATAGGAAAAATCTACGGTGTTTTTATTGCGTTGCCAAATACTCGCATACAAGTATCTGCTGCTGCTGCTGCGAAAGGACCCCCGCAGTCTGACTGAAAGCTTAAAAATTAATGTGTATGCATTTATTCAGATGATTTTTATACATTTTGTCTTGTTTTAACCTTTTTGAAAGTAGTTAAAACTGTCGGATGTCGGAATGAGTGTCGTAACATTTCCCAGGCAACCAAATGTATTGAAAAAACAACGATTTTTGTGAAATGTCCATTTATAACATTAATTTCTTTGCTCTTTTTTTAACTAGAGATAAAGCGAGGAGTTAATTTTTGTATCGATTTTCATATATTTCCCATTGAATTCGGGAAACTATTTACCTGAAAAATCGTTTCAAATATAAGAGTATTTTATGTTCGACTTTTCTTTAGAATTTGGGAGTTACCCTTTATGTTGTATTATTTTTGTAATATTTACTTTCCACTGTAAAGTGTCTGAAATGCCAGATGGCTTAAAAATTGCCAGTTTTTAATATATAATTGACAACGACGTACGTTAAATTAAATTGCCATTTCTATGTGGTACCCCAAAATTTTATTTTTGACTGAAATCTATTGAAATTATTCGAAATCTGAATCATCAAATATAACATTTTGATTGCCGAAAGGGACGAAAGAGAAAAAAAAACTAATATTCCCTGAATATTACATCAACTAAAAGATAATATATAGAAGCTTAAAAACCTTAATTATATTTTCTTATGATAATCACATAACATTCACCAATTAAAACAAATATTTTGAAACTTATGTAGTCCATAATTATCCCCATTTTTTCCACATCTTAATTACAATATGACTTTCCATGTCATTATATATTAATTTCTGTTTAAAAATATAACCAGACACGGCTAAAAGAAAAACAATTGAAATGACCTCGAAATGGATGCCAGATCATTAACATGTGTCGCCCCCATCAGTAAAAGGATATACAAATCCTCGACACACATGTGGCTATGGGGGGGGGGGGTTGTGTCTCTTGTCCTGCGTATGTGTATGTGTGTCTGTGCAACAAAAATGGGCGTTTTGTTGGCTTGCTTTTGACATTTTATTGCCGACAACAGTGTTTTCATGCTGCCTGCCTCTCAGTTCATGGCCTGGCGCTCGGCTCGAAGTAATTAGGTTGAAATTACAAATTATGGGGTTCATGTAGCAGATTATTACGACAGAAATCAGAGAGAGAAATGTGTCCATTGCCATACATAGTCCATGGTTTGGGTCCGATTGGGCGGGTGGAAAATTACGGTCGAAAAATTGGGAAACAAATTTTCTATTTTGGACAAGAACGTAACAAACGGCAGCAGGAACAGATGAAAGAGCAGAGCTGAGCTCGTTAAAAAGCACTTAGGGGTATACAAACATCAACGGGGGGAGAACAGAGAAAAGGTCGGTGGCTGTTTTTGTTGTTGTGTGAGGGTAGGGTTGGGAGGGAGGGAGGTAATTATGATGCAATCAGTCCACTCGAGAGTCCAGTTATGTGTGTGTGTATTCGAGTGTCCAGAGAAATCACAACTTAACCAGCCTGACGTGTATAAATTGAAGTTAAGTCTCGTTTCCGCTTGAAATGCGCTTAGGAGGAGGTGGAGGTGGCCACCAGTATTTCTCACTCTTTTCACGTCGCTGCAGCTGTGCTTCGTCGTTGTGACAAGTGAAATTTCGTGGCAATAGCAGCGTGAATTGCAATGGAATCGCCGGAAAAGCTGCAGATTGAACCAAAGAACCAAGACAAAACCATAAAAGACAGCCTCAACTGCATACTCAAGCGCAGAGCTGGAGCTGCAGCTGAAGATGGAGATGGAATACAATGTAAATTATGCTCGGAGGTAGCAAAAGAAATGGCATTCATGCTGGCGGTGGTGGAGGGGGTCTGGGGGTCTGTCATCTCCTCTTGTTTCTGTGGCATTTGCATTGGATGCGGCAAGAGAGACGCAGAAGGAGCAAGGAGGAGTGTCTGCCAGTCAGCTGAGCAATGCCATGGGATCTGACAGCCAGCGTAAATGGAATTGTTTGCAGATGTCTGCATGGGGTAGGGGAGGGAATCGTGGCAGGAGACAGTCAGCGACATGAAATGCGGCAAAGAAAATGCATTAAATTTCGGTTTTCCCATACCCAGAATCTTTGCCCACACAAAACAAACGAATCTTTCCCCCCACACTTTGCATTAATAAACCACAAAAATAATAGGAAGAAAAGGATTTGATAATTTTACATTCATTGTGGAGCAGCAGCAAGAACAGCAGCAGCAGCAGCAGCATCCTTGAAGAGCTAATTAGTAAATGTTTTTGTTTCCCCTCTACTTATTATCCTTTGTTCCACCGAAAAACAAAAAAAAAACAGCATAGAGGAGAATGTGCCCCAAGCAGTTGGTTGTGCGGTATGGAACCAATTCTAAGAGGAAACAGCACTTAATGAGCTTGAGGGCTTGAGTATTCTCTTGTGGTTCATTTCCTTTTTTTTTGGTAACCAAGTGCTTTTCTGGTTAGTTTCTGTGAATTTTTAGTTGATTGTACTTGAGAGAATGGAACATGTTGTAATATAATGAAGGTGCTCGCTCG